ACAGTGGCAAAGGGGTGAAGATCTAAGGAGAGGTCAGGGCACCATCTGGCCACCACCTGGGAGGCCGATGGCAGGACAGACAAGATAGGTGGACCCAAGGACCGTCCTCAGGCCCAGAGCCCACCCTGAGCGGACCCGAGCCTGGGACCCCAAAGAGCACCCCAGGACGGAGCTGCAGGGCGGCAGTGGGGGGTCAGCAGTTTGCTGTGTGTGCGTCTCAAACTGTGCCTGAGGGAGCCCGTCCAGGGGCTGGGGGACTGAGGCTGTGGGCTCTGGGGCTGGGGGACTGGGCGCTAGGGGACCTAGGAGTGGAAGGGACCCAGGGGCTGGGACCCTGGGGGGACCAGGGATAGGGGACCGGGGGGACCTCGGGCTGGGGGACCTGGGACAGTGAGCCAGTAGCTGGTCCGTGGGCCAGGGACGGGAGCTGAGGCTGTGTCTCCTTGCTGAGTCACCGCAGCTGGAATTGTGCGGGGAGGGGCGGGGATCCACCCTGTGTGTCCAGGGGCCGATACTTTATCTCTGGCTCCCTGAGGCGGCCTGGGCTCCTGGGATCTCTGGGCTGACGGGGCGCCAGCCGTGGGGATAGGAGGGCAGGCAGCGGGGCCGGAGGATGGGGAGTGGGGGGGTCTCAGGTCCTCACCTCCCTCTGCCTGGCCGCCCACCTCAGACAGGAGGCCCGGGACAGCGGCAGCCCCTCACTGGGATGGCAGCGGTGGATGAGCGCAGTCAGAGGCTTCCTCTCGTCTCCGAGGCTTCCTGTGCCAAACCCCTTCCCTCTCACCGCGTGGTGCCACCGCCTGCAGGGAGCAGGGCATACGCTGTCACACCCAGACGAGGGCAGCCTGTGGGCATCTGTCCCTCCGGCCCTCCTCCCCTCCGGCCCCCAGGGTGGTGCCCCCACCTGCAGCCACGCAGACTCAGCCACACGCCCTCTGCCAGCAGCTGGCCCACTCCTGACTGAGTCCGCCCGCCGCCCACCGTCCAAGTGCGGGCTCCTGTCGGGGGCATGCTCTCACGTCTGCCCTGCACACGGTTCCCTCGTGGAGTCGGACTTGGATAGAAACGCCAATGCCCCTCCCACTGCCCTGAGTGCTGCCTCCCCTCCCATCCTCTCCCCCCCCCCACCACCACCACCACTGCTCGGGCTTAAGTGTTCTCTAGCGGGCGCCCGGCCTGGGTCCGGCCCGCGGGGCCCGGTGCCCCCGCCTCGGGGCCCTGCTCTGGGGACGAGGGGCGATGGGCACGTCCTGCAAAGGTCATTGCGGACCCCACTCGCGTGTTAATGAGACGGCCCGCTGTGCCTGGAGGCTGATGTGGTTAAAGAACACGTGTGAGAGCCCAGCGCCTGCACATGGCTAAGTCCTCCCAACTCCCCTGAGCGTGTGCTGCCTGGACAGGCCGGGGGCTCGGGCTTGGAGGATGTTCGTGCGCCCCGCCGCGGCCACGGCGACTGTCCCGTGCAGCTCGGCGCAGCTCAGTGCAGCGGACAGTGCAGGCAGGCTGGGAGGGCGGGGGGTCTTCCTTCCGGAAGGCTCCTCAGCTGGGTGTGGGAACAGGACCGGGCCCTCACAGGGACACATCAGTGAAGGCAGGGACCAGGCGCTTCTGCCAGGTGCCCGCACGCCTCCTGGTGAGCGGAACAGGGTTCCCGAAACCTCCAGAGCTAGCTGTGAGCCCTCTGCTCGGACCTCTGATGGGGCCGTGGCCCCGGGTTCGGGGGAACTGCCGAGGATGAGCCGTCGCTCCCCTGCTCCTCTCCCATCCGCAGTGTCCGCGCCGACACCCCCTCTCCCATCGGCAGTGTCCGCTCCAACTCCCCCTCTCTGTCCGCAGTGTCCGCGCCGACACCCCCTCTCCGTCCGCATGTCCGCGCCGACAACCCCTCCCGTCGGTCACCGGCCCCGTCGGCAGTGTCCGGCCCGTGCCGTTGTCCTCAGTTTGTCACGTGGCATCTGCAGTCCCCGATTTAAAGACACACTCGCTCCGAACTCTCTGTCTGCCGGACGCGGAGGCCAGGAGGCTGGGGGAGGGGAGCTCCCTGAGACGGCCTCCGGGCAGCGGGCGCTGACCACCCTGAGGGCCAGCTGTGGGGGCGGGGCCGTGTTCGCTGGGACAGGACGGGCCGGGGCTGCAGCCGCCGTGGGTGTGAGGACACACAGGCATCTGGAGCGATGGCGGTTTGAGAAGAAGTTCTCTTTACAGAAAAGCGCAGCTCCCCGCACGCCTGCGGCCTCTGCCGCGCTCACTGCTTCCCTCTGCTTCTCGTTGCAGTGTCCTCCGCGGCCGATGGCTTTAGGGACTTTCATGCACTAATTCCCCGTTCTTTCTCTCGTAAGTATGTGCTCTGCTTCCTGAGTCCACCGTCAGGCTTCGTTCCATCGTGTGCATACCGTGCGTGTGTTTCCATCGCCTCTTGCATGCTTGTCAGTGTGAGATCAGCACATGTGGACCATTCTGTGCAGCAGACAGCTCCCATCCACAGTAGAACCTCGACAGCCACGTGCACATGTGACATGCTGTTTATTTTCAAATGTGTTTGTATTGATTTCAGAGAGAGAGAGAGAGAGAGAAACATCAACGATGGGCGAGAATCATGGACTGGCTGCCTCCTACATGCCCCCCATGGGGATGGAGCCCACAACCTGGGCATGTGCCTTGACCAGGATTTGAACCAGGACCTCCTGGTTCCTAGGTCGCTGTTCAACCACTGAGCCACACCGGCCGGGCCCCAGCGACATTTTGGATGTGACAAGTGCCAAGAAGCATCCCTCTCCCTCTGTAGTGACGTGGCGTGTGCGCAGTGGACATGGGACAGTGGCATGGACAGAATCGCCCCCCTCCCCGCTCCCAGTGCTGCCACTAGCGTGGGTCACCTCCTCTGCCCAGCAGGAGAGGAAACGGCGGGTCTGGCCTGGTTAGGAAATGCTCTGTATCGGCCCTGGAGCTTCGGTGCGAGCAGTGGGGTGTGTGTTGATGTGTGGTCACACGAATGGGCTCCCAGGCCCTTGTATTCCTCCCTCTTCCTCCCCTCCCCCATGCACCCAAATCCTAACTCTCCCCCTGGCCCAGGGGCCTTCCAGTCCCCGCCCAACAGCAACCAAACTGTTCTAGGCCAACATCACCACCTGGTGGCCGTGGTGGGGAATTGTCCTGCTGCCTCAGCACCTCTTTTATTCTTTTTTCTTAAAAATGAAAAGCGACACACGTGTCAGCCCCGGGACCTTCTCCGAGCCGGCGTGCGTCCCTCGTCGGGAGGAAATGCGTGTCATACACTTCCTCTTTTCTCTCCCTGACTCCATCCGTGGGCAGGCCTGGCACAGTAAGGGAGGCTTGCAGTGCTCCTGGTCACACATCTTTACAACCACGGTGTGCGTCATAATAAACCGTGTGTGTGCCTTTAACACGCTCAGCCCTTCTCACACTCCGTCCGGATGCAGTGTCTGGGGTCGTGCCGTTAGCATGGGTTTTGTGTGGCGTCGCGTGTCCCCATTTCTGCAGCGGCTCGGACACGCCTCGTGCCGCCTCCTCACACATCTTCGCTGCCGTGCCACGCTCCACACCCCACGTGTCCCCCCGCCGGCCGCTGCAGCGGGAGGGGTCCAGTCTCTGGTTTTCCGTTGGAAGCGGGTGTGGCGAGCCCGGCTGGACGCTCCTGTGCTGAGCCGTCAGGACCGCTCTGACGGGGGCGGTGTGGCCCGGCTCCCACAGTCCCGTCCCTCCTCCTTCTCCATAGACGGGTGCTGTCTGAGCTTTCCCCGGAGCCGGGAGGCGGGCCCGGGCCTGTCCCGCCCTGGGCTGGGCCTCCTCCGGCTCGGCTGGTGGGACAGGCTGGCCTGGTGAGCCTGCTGTCCGGTTGTGTCCCACGGCACAGCCAGGAGAAGGGCTCCCCCAAACCCCAGTCTGCTGGCTGGAGCCTCGGGGGTGCGGGCGGCGTCCGTGCCTGCTTCCCCTCACGCCGCCCACGCCCTCCCGCCAACAGGGCCCCTCTCCGCGTGCTCCCGGGCCAGACACACAGGAGTCGCCAGCTCCCTGCGGCACGGCCACCCCCACGTCCTCCCTCTCGGGGCAGCACCTCCCCTTTCTCTTTAATGTTTTCTAACGGGCGCTCCTGCCCTGGCTGGTGTGGCTCAGTGGATAGAGCTTCCGCCTGCGAAATGAAGGGTCCCGGATTCGATTCCAGTCAAGGGCACGAGCCCAGGTTGTGGGTTCAAGCCCCCATATGGGGCGTGCGGGAGGCAGCCAGTCAGTGATTCTTCCTCAGCATTGATGTTTCTGTCTTCCTCTCTGAAATCAATAAAAATGTTTTAAAAATAAATAAAAGTAAATGGGGGGGGAGGGGTCTGTACCAGGCCCAGGTCACCACGGGGAAGGTCGCCGGCAGCACTGAGGCCGGGAGGCCGGAAGGCTGAGGGCAGCAGCACCCTCAGGCCTCCGCACACGCTCCCCAGCCTTCTGCCGATCCTTGCTCCCAGCCTGCTTGGAGGGGTGAGGGGGGCTGGGGGGGACACGCAGACGCAGGCCTTTCTGAGCTCCGGGCTCTGAGCTCAGAGAGCCCGCCTGCAGAGGCCCGGAGAGAGCCCCTGCTCCTGGTCCCGGTGGTGGCCACGAGCTGGGTCCACGCTGCATTCGCCACGGGAGCCCTCGGCGGGACAGCGGTCAGGGGGACTCTGCCCAGTGAGGCCTGGCCGGGCCCTGACACCAGATGGTGGTCGCCCTCACTCCTGGGGGGGCCCTGGTGGAGAGGGCCAGCCCCCCCAGAGCCACCACGCTGTCCCCGCGACCCGGGTTAGAGTGAGGGCCCCTCCTCCATCGAGTAAATAGCCTCCAGGTGTCACCTTCTCACCTTCGGGGACGCCACTGGGACCGGGGGGGGGGGGGGGCAGTGGGAGGGGCCGTGGTTCCCGCCACCCATGGCGACGGCTGCTGAGCGCCGTGTGGGGCGCCGGGCGGCGGGGGCTGCCCGCGGCCCCGGTGACAGGCTGTGTTGTGTCTTGCAGCGGGCCCTGTGAAGGTAGAGGCTCAGAGTGATGAAGAGCGTGGGCGTGCCTGTGACATGAATGGGGAGGCGTGTGCCCAGGACTTGCGTGTGCTGGGCGCCGCGGGCGAGGACGTGAATGGCTCCCACGGCGGCAGAGCGCTGGCGGGCGCCGGCGGCATCCGGCTCCCGAACGGCAAACTGAAGTGCGACGTCTGTGGGATTGTGTGCATCGGCCCCAATGTGCTCATGGTGCACAAGCGAAGCCACACGGGTAAGGCCAGGTCCTCCGGGGGCGGGAGGGCGCGGCCCCGTCCCCCCACTGTCCCCCGAGCGGCAGGAGGCGGGCACAGCGCGGGGCTCCCAGCGGGCGGGGCGCGTCCTCCCCCGCCCCCGTCGCAGGGGAAGGGCCAGTTCGACCACGGAAGCGAGACCCCGAGAGGGAAGGCTGGCAGCTCGGGGGCCAGAGCATGATGGCCGGGCATGTCCGGCCGCCCTCTGATTGGGGGGTTCACGTGCCAGGGGGTCTGCCCTTAAACAGCGAGACCGAACCCCACAGACAGGTGGAACCCCCAAACCTCCGCTGGAAGCCGGCCGGGAGCACAAGTGTTACACCCCGCAGCAGGGCTGGGTGTGCGGGGACCGGAGCGAGGGGTTAGGCTCCCAAAGCACGTCCTCCCCCGCCCCTGGCACCGCGCAGCCCCCCACTGCACCCTCCCCCCTGCACCCTCCTCCCTCAGAATCAGAGCCAAGCCTCACACGGAGTCCGAACAGGGGGGCTGGAGGGGGCAGCGCCCCAGACAGAGGCCGGGCAGGCCAGGGTCCGCTCACCCAGGCAGGGGGGAGTCCCCACTGGCGCCCCCTCCCTGTGCCCGCCCTGTCCTGGGGGTCCCGTCACTGCTTCTCCCTCCGCTGTCCAGTCCCCGCTGACGGGGTGCCTTCGTCTGTGCGCGTCTCCCGCCTCCCCCATGACCGAGGGCGCCGTCCGGGTGCCAGCCCGTGTGCCAGCCCGGGGCCGTGGAGCGGGTGGGTATGGGCCATGGCACGCTGGTCCGCCATCACGGAGCGGTCCACCCCGGCCGGGGGGAGGGAGGAGAGGGACAGGCCGGGAGGAGAAACGCGCTGTGGACAGGGGGTGCCCGCGGCGGGCGCGTGGCGGGAGCAGCTGTTTGATCACAGGGCCGTCTCCGTGGGCCGTGCACTGGGTGTATTTTCCCGAAGCACCGTGGTCTGTAAAGCGCGCGTTTTAAGTGAGCATGCCGGGCTTTCCCCACGGCCTGACCCCTGAGCTCCTGTGAGGCCAGGCCCCTCGGCCCGGGGACAAGTGAGGAGGGGCAGGGGGCAGTGGTCACTGAGTGCTGTCCGCTGGTTCGTGCAGGGCCGGACGCCGCGCTCCGCCTCCTGAGAGAAGGCTGGCCGCTCGGTCAGCCCGACGCCCTGAGCTGCAGGGTCCGCCCCGCCCGCAGGGGAATGGCTTCCCTGCAGAGCCTGCGGGCGGGGCGGCCTGGCCGACAGCTCCCGCCTCTCCCCATGCCCGCCCTCGCCCGGATCAGGGACCGCCTCGGCTTCACTGGGGGCGGCGGGGCGTGGGGACCCTGCGGGCCACACAGGGCGCCGTGCACAGGCTCCGCGCGGAACGTGCAGGACGGCCCCGTTCTCCACCGGCCCCCCGAGTCTCCCATGAGAGCGGCGCTCGCTGTGGCAGGGCCTGGGCCCAGAGGAGGCTGGTGGGCACAGGCCTTCCTCCGGGGCCCAGGGGCAGCCTAGTGAGCTCGGGTCCGAGGAGGCAGCCATCCTGCCCACCTGCCCTGCCCCCCGCAGGCCCACAGGCAGCTGCACCCCTGCTCTCCCTCTCGGGTCTAGGGGTCCAGGTGCCCGTCCCAGGGTTCATGGAGGCCCACACTCCATGGGTGTGCAGCTCCGTTTCTTTCCTTTTTTCCCCACAGAAAGGAGGGCAGGCCCTGTGAGGAGTTACAGAGGCTCCCGCCCCCAAGATGTTTTATTGGTGTTTAGAGAGCAAGGAGGGAGAGAAACACTGATGCTCCCCAGCCGCTGCCTCCTGCACGCCCCCCCCCCCCCGCCCCCGGGGCTGAGCCCGCCGCCCGCACGTGCGGCGGGAATCATGCATCGGCCACAAGCAGCCGCACCCGCGGGCTGGGCTCCACGCGTGCGCAGGGTGAGAGCAGCCCGCCTCCAGCCAGGCGCGCCCGCGGGTGGTGGGTGCGGCCGCCGGCAGGCCGGCCAGGCAGCGCCGCCGCTCTGAATGCTGGGATCTCTGGCAGAAAAGATAGGAAAGGTGCCCAGGTACCGGGGGTAGGGGGGGGGGGCTCTGTTCCCCCGTGAGGGGCCGGGCCCAGGGTTCACGGGGCTGCGTGCTGCCCGGCGTCCGGCTGGCCCACCCGGAGCCTGCAGGCCGGGCAGCTGCCTCCGTCCGCCTCCCGCCCACTCCCCTCGGGAAGTGAGGGTGCGGGTGCCGCTTTCTCGCCTAGTCCGTGGTCACAGGGCACAGCCTTCCCGCAGAGGCCGGGCGTAAAGCTGGACTTAGAGTCCGACATGCTGCTGTCCTCCTCCCTCCCAGCGAAATGCCAGGAGGGCAGCCTCTAGGGCTGGCTTCCCTCACCGCCATCACCGCTGCCACCCGCAGGGGGCGCTGAGGCCCCGGCGGCTCCCTGATCCCTTGAGCTCTGCGTCCATCCCACTGCAGGGTGGTCCCTGCCCTGCTGCCCCGCTGCCCCCAGGGGAGGCCCTGAGCCCACGCCCTGCCCTGTGGTCCTGCCCGTGGCACATGCACGCCGTGAGGGATCGGGATGAACGGTTTCCCGGAGCTGATGGCGAGTGAGCCGCTCCGCAGGCACACGGGAGCCGCAGCCCAGCAGGCCCCTCTCTCTCCCTCTCTCTCTATCTCTCTCAGCCCCCTGCTTCCCTCCCATCCTGCTCTGCGGAGGGGACACAGCTTCCAGGGTCTGTCTTTTCTTTATTGATTTCAGAGAGGAAGAGAGAGGGAGAGAGAGAATCGCTGATCAGCTGCCTCCTGCACACCCCACACTGGGGATCGGGCCTGTAACCGGGGCCTGTGCCTTGACCGGGAATCGAACCCTGACCTCCTGGTTCATAGGTCAGCACTCAATCACTGAGCCTCGCCAACCAGGACAAGGGTCCGTCCTTTCTGTCTCCTCTGAGACAGGGGCTCCCTGCAGGGCCACCGGGCTGCCCTCCCCCCGCCCTCCAGTCCTTGGGAACCAGTGCTCACTCCTGGGCAGGGCTCTGGCTGTGGGTGGTCCACACCGGAGCGTCCCATCCCTGTCACCGGCATCTCCACGAGGCCTCCCTCCCGGATGGAGGGTCCCGGGCAGAGCGAGGCTGGGCACCCCCACACGCAGGGACAGTTTCTCTTTGGGGTCACACGGGCACACGCGCACACGTATGTGGGAGCAGGGCCCAGGGTGTTCCTCTCTGTGGGGCACTCCTCGGGGGCCTGGCCCTGCCGGCCGACTCAGGGAGTCCGTTCCGGTTTGTGCACTCTGGCTCCCGCCGGCTCGGTACTGACCCTCTCCACTCGCGTCCTTCCTGACCGGTTGGGCATGGACCCCGTGCCTCCTGGTCAGTGTCAGGGGGTCCCCTTCCCCCTCCCCCCCCCACTGTGGTCACGTCCCTGCAATTCGCCGGCTTTCCCAGCGAGAAGGGCGGCGCTAGTGACACCGGCTGATGTCATGGATGGAGGCCGAGCGGGTCCCTCCGGTGCGTGACACCGCCCACGTCATGCGACTCTGCTAGGGAGACCGTACCACATGTGTCGTGACAGCTCCGTCTTCCTGGGGAAAGTCCGTCCCAGGAGCGTGTTTCCATAGTAACCAGCGCCAGGCGGGCGCCATGGTCCTGGAGCACCTGTTTGGGGGAGCTGCTGTGCTTCCCGCACAGGACCGGCCTCCCCGGGAAAGCCAGCGCTGCGTGGTTGTCCCACCCGATTCCAGCACCGCACGGCCCAGAGCACGTGGTCCCGGCACCTGTGGCTGCCCATGGGGCCCAGAATGTGGGGGCGCGCTGCCCACACCGCAGAGGGCAGCCGTCCTCGGCCTCCTCAGCCATGGCCCCCGAGAGGATTCGAGGGGCAGGCAGCTAGCGGCACCTGCGGGCGTCTGTAGCGAGGGTGCGCGCACTCCCTGCGGACGGCGCCGCGTGGCCTCGGGCCGGGACAGCGGGAGCGCCACGCCAGGCACCGCCGGCTCCAGGGGCCACGGGACTTTTTGGACGGACCGTGCTCGTGTCCGTCCCGGTCTCCACGAGGTGTGCGTTTCTCGGCGCTTCCTCCTCCTGCCCGTCCCGCCCTCGCTCCGTCTGTCTCCCTGCTGACGGCCCGCGGAGGGACAGACAGGTAATGGAGAAGAAATTGAAAGGGGGAGGCAGGGAGCGGTAAATGAAAGGGAGTTATTATAAGTGTTATAATGAACTGCCTTTCATTTAAATATAAGAATGTAACGCCGAAATGAACTTGTGATCCTGAAATGCATTTTTAATGAGTTTCCTTTTTATTTTGCTGCTTCAGTGGCGTATTTTAAAGACCCTTTTGAAAAAAGCCCCACCAAATGCCACAGCACGCGGGCTGGATATTGGCTTATTCCAGAACTGCTGATCAGGAAGAGCGGTTCCTCATCGCCGACGCCGCAGTCACTTTATTCAAATGAGCCCGCATTTGCATTGTGATGTGCCGCTCTGATTTAGGGGAAAAATTAGATTTTCAGATCAAATTGACCCGACCAGTGAAGCGTGAGGGCTGGCAGGTTCGCCTGGAGCTGATGTTCTATCAGACCTGCAGCGTGGCGTCCGGGCCCGGGAAGCAACTTTCTCACCTGCGTCCCCTCTCGTCCCCTCCCGTCCAGGCCGCGTCCTCCTCGGGGTCAGGCGGCGTCCCCTCCGGTCCGGGCGCACCCCCTCTTGTCCTCTCCGTCCAGGCCGTGTCCCCCTCGGGCCCGGGCAGCCGGCAGCGCTCACCTCCTGTCTCCCCCCAGGCGAGCGGCCGTTCCAGTGCAACCAGTGCGGGGCCTCCTTCACGCAGAAGGGCAACCTGCTGCGCCACATCAAGCTGCACTCGGGCGAGAAGCCCTTCAAGTGCCACCTCTGCAACTACGCCTGCCGCCGGCGGGACGCGCTCACCGGCCACCTGCGCACGCACTCCGGTAGGTGCCGGAGCTCCCTGCTGGGGCCCGCCCCCGGGGGCGCCCTCCGTGGGGCACGGCCACCCGGTGACCCCGTCCTCCTGCGGTTCCCCCCGTCCCTCCTGGGGGCAGGTGGCACAGGAAGTCCCGCCTCAGGGAGAGGGTCCCAAAGGTCAGAGGGTCTTTTCAGAGGATGTCCTAGCTGTCCTGTCACTGGCGTCGTGCTAGTGCCCCGAAAGCCCAAACACACACCGTGTTGCTGGCCACGCCACACGGCTCCAGGCCACACACGGGGTCTCAGGAGCTCAGGCGCCATCACTACAAAGGGGCCTGGGGTGGACCCTGTCACTGAGGGCACCCCCTCTCCATCCCGACCGCCTTCCGGCACCGACGAGGAGCTCCCACCACACGCACCGTCGTCGCCCTGTGGCGGTCGGGGTGGCGGTCAGGATCCTACATCTGCAGGAAAGGGCTGCACGGAGCCGGGGCGTGACCCCGCCCAGCGAGCCAGCAGGCCAGCCGGGGTCACGGTGGGGTCAAGGTCACCTCCCCATCGGGGACAGGGCAGGCGCTGCAGGCCGGGGAGGGGTTGCTAAGGCGACCGGGACTCTCCCATGAGGAGACCGGGCCTCCCCACGGAGGGAGTGGTGAGTGACGGGCGTTGTTACCGTCCCCAAGTGTCAGTCACAAGAGGCGCATGTTGTCCCTGTGGAGGGGAGGTGTGCCCATGGATGGAGTGTGCCACGTGGAAGGGGAGGTGTCCCACGTGGAGGGTGTGCCACGTGGAGGGAGGTGTGTCACATGGAGGTGTGTGCCACGTGGAGGGGTGGGCAACGTGGACGGGGAGGAGTGCAGGGACTAAGTGACCAGCAGGCCGGGCAGGCTCCAGGTGTGAGTGGGCGGCCTGGGTCCCCAGGCAGGTGACCGGCCGGGGACGTGGCAGACACGCTGTAAGGTGTTGGGTGGACACCTGCCAGGCGGCAGGAGGCGGCCGGGCAGGAGCCACTGCCCAGCGGGCACGTCCTCCGCCCGCAGCCAGCCCTGGCTGTGCTGGTGACACCAGAGGTCCCCCCTGCCCTTTGCCAGCCCGGAGCTCCGGGGGCTGCCCTGTGCCCTCCACTGCAGCGTTGGGAACCCCTCGGCGTGGCCTGGGCGCCCTGAGCCTGAGGGCAGCTGCGGCCAGCTGGGTGACAGCTGGGTCACATCCCCCTCCCCCCCCCGCCGCCCCCAGGCCAGCGTTTAACGGGGCCTCCCACTCGGTTCTGTCTCCGCAGTCGGCAAACCTCACAAGTGCGGATACTGCGGCCGGAGCTACAAGCAGCGGAGCTCCTTGGAGGAACACAAGGAGCGCTGCCACAACTACCTGCAGTCCATGGGGCTCCCGGGCACGCTCTACCCAGGTAAGCGCCCGCCACCCAGCGCCTGGGCTTGCACCTGCAGCCGAGGTGCCGTCCTCGACCCGGATCAAGCCTGTGGCCCTCCGTCTGGTGGGAGGACAGGAGCGGCGGGGAGGGGGCACGTGACACAGCTGTCACCCAGCGGCCGCAGCTGCCCTCAGGCTCAGAGCGCCCCGGGGACGGAACCCTGACCTCCTGGCTCCCAGGTGGACGCTCGAGCACTGAGCCGGCCGGGGAGGGCCTGGCTCTGTCGGCCTCTGACACGTGTCAGATGGACGCTGGGACCGGGGTCCCGCCAGCGCTCCTGACCCCCCTCCCCCGTTTGCTTCCAGTCATCAAGGAGGAGGCGAACCACGCCGAGGCGGCCGAGGACCTGTGCAAGGCGGGCGCCGAGCGGGCCCTGGTGCTGGACAGGCTCGCCAGTAACGTGGCCAAACGTAAGAGCTCTCTGCCGCAGAAGTTCGTTGGTAAGAGTCCATGTTTGCTGTCTCCTCACACCGGTGTGGGCTCGGCCTCGGTCCGGGGAGGGTGGGAGAAAGAGGCCCGTCTCCTCGGGGCCCTTAACCCCAGCTCTTCCCACGGGGCCCACAAGGACAGATGTTCCGGGCTCCCGTCCTCAGGAGGACCTGCCCCTGGACACTCGGCACAGCCAGACACTGCAGCCTGAGCTGGGTGTGCCGTCACACGGAGCGCCGGCCCGCCTTGCAGGTTCACGGCAGACTGGGCTGCAGGAGGGGCGGGGTGTGGGCGCTGGCGCGCAGGGCCATCCACGCCTGTGCCAGCTGAGAGCAGGCCTCTCCCGTGGAGCGTGCCCCGCTGTGGGCGGGGGGCGGGCGCCCGAGGTAGCAGCGGGAGGGGGGGACAGAGGCCCCGCTGAGGCCACTGGGAGTCTGTCATAGCCACGAGCTGTCTCCCTGGATTTATAGTAATGCCCAGGTGGTGAGAACACTTAGCAACTGTCAGTGTTAAGGTCAGTGTCATCACTGGGACAAAATAGACAGCGGACGGGGGCGTGGCCTCAGGGAGGAGGGGGAGGGGCCTCAGAGAATGGGGGCCCTCAGGGAGGCTGGGGGCGTGGCCTCAGGGAGGAAGGGGCGGGGCCTCAGGAGGATGAGCATTGCAGGGAGACCTGCCAGGGGTTGGGGGTTGGGAAGGTAGGGAAGGAAGTTGAAGACACTTTTGCAAACCACCTGCTGGAACTCAGGAGCCGCCTACACGTGTGAGCTGCAGGCTGTGCCCAGGAGCCCGCACTTCCTGAGCAGAGGGGGCGGAGTCATGGGCCACTAGGCTGCTGGCCATGGGGCGTCAAGTCCCCTGGGCGGGGGTGCGGGGCTCAGTCATGGGCGGTGGGGGGGGGGGGAGATGTGGGGCTCAGTCCTGGGCGGGGGAGCAGGGCTCAATCCTGGGCTGGGGGAGGAGTGTAGGGGGGAGGGTGTGGGGCTCAGTCCTGGGCGGGGGTGGCGGGGCTCAGTCCTGGGCTGGGTGGGGGGGGGGGGATGCGGGGCTCAGTCCTGGGCGGGGGAGCAGGGCTCAATCCTGGGCTGGGGGAGGAGTGTAGGGGGGAGGGTGTGGGGCTCAGTCCTGGGCGGGGGTCACTGACTGGGAAGGGAAGCTGGTTGGCTTCCTGCTCACCTGCCAGGCTTTGCCAGGTGCAGAGACCCCGCCCCCACCGGCAGACCCCGGGGCGGGTGCTGAGGCAGGGGTCTCTTCATCGCGTGGACCCCAGTCATGCAGCCTTTTCTGAGAAAACCCGACAGGCGCGGGGCGTGCTCCGTCGTCCTGTGCTCGTGGCCGGGAGCCCGCGGCCGCGTGGGGGCCCGCTGTGTCCCCGAGAGCCTCTCAGAACTTCTGCGATGAGGATGGCAGGATCTCGTCTCCTCCAGAAACGCCCGAGAGCCCTTCCTCGGCCTTAGCGTTCGGCATCCTCCTGGGCCGTGACCGGAGCTTCGCTCTCTGGGTTAAAACCGCCCCCTCCCGATCCCCCTATTTCTGGGAAATCCCCTTCGCTGGGGGCGCCTCTGCACCCTCCCTGCCGTCCCTCGGACACAGCTGTCGTGTCTGTCAGGTGTCCCGCCTCTTCGTGTCTGTGCGGACCCCCTGGGCAGGCTTCTCCCTGCCCCTGGCCGCTCTGGCTCTGAGCGAGGCGTCAGGGTGTTTGGGGCCCGGACCCCAGCCTCCTCCCCGCCGCACCCTGTTGTTTGACATCTGCCTCTCCCGGTCTCTCCGGGTCCGTCCCGCAGCCCCCGCCAGCCGCTTCCTGTCTTCTGTGAACCGAGCCTCTCCCGGGCCGTGGCTCCTGGGCCCGTGGCTTCCTCTCCCTCTGAGCCGTCCTCACAGCCAGACGGGCTTTCAGCTCCTGCTCTTCTCGGGCTGGCACAGACGGCCGATGGTCCGACCCTCCCCACTGTACCCGGGCTTCCTCTTCCTGTGAGAGCCGTCTGTGGCGCCTCTGAGCTTGAGAGAACGCCACGGGTGGGTGGGGGCAGGTGAGGCAGTGTGACTGTGGTTAAAGGCTGTCTCTTATAGGCACACAGCGGCTAGATGATGACAATCTCTGAACACATAATGGTCTGGCCACTCAGTGTGTATGTGATATATATTAGCGGCCCGGTGCATGAATTCGTGCATGGGTGGGGTCTGGCCAGCCTGGCCAGGCGGAGGGGACATGGGCGGTTGGCCGGCCTGCCTGCTAGTCAAACTCCTGGTCGAGGGGACAATTTGCGTATTAGGCTTTTATTCTATGGAATATACACTGAGTGGCCAGGTTATTATGTGTTCAGAGATCATCATCATCTGGCCACTCAGTGTAAATATCTATGTTTTTGTTGACTTTCTTTGGAGAGGGATAGATGGATGAGAGAGAAACTTCATTGACGGGCTGCCTCCTGCACGCCCCCCACAGGGGATGAAGCCCGAAACCCGGGCCTGTGCCCTCACCGGGAATCGAACCAGCGGCCTCTTGGTTCCGGGTCAATGCACAGCCGCTGAGCCATGCCAACCGGGCTGAGAGCCCATCTCCCGGCTTGCTCCCCTGGAGCTGGGACAGGCCAAATGCCCAGAATGCTCGTCAGGGGCCCCTCCGAGCAGGGGCAGCGTCTCCGCAGGGGGCCCTTGGCTCCCCGCCCGGCACTTCCCACGGCAGAGCGGCACTGTGTGTGATCTGAGTAGAGACAGGGCCTGTGCCCCCTTGACCGCCCCCCCCCCCCCCAGTGTTAAAGTGAGCGGAAGCCAAGCCGTCATCTGATGCCTGTCCATTCAGAGCGAGAAAAGAGACTGAGGACACTCGGAGGCTGAGCCAGCTCCTGGGCCACCGATGCTCACAGGGTTTTTAAAGAATTCTTAGTGCCCTGGCCCATCGCCAGCCTGCGGACCAAAGGGTCCCGGGTTCGATTCCAGCCAAGGGCACGTACCTCTGTGTCAGGCTCCTCCCTGGCCTGGGTGCCATCGGTGTGTCTCTCTCACATCCATGTTTCTCTCTGCCTCCCCCCTTCCACTCTCTCTAGAAATCAGTGGAAAAATATCCTCGGGCAGGGATTTTACAAAGAACAAATAATAAGGATTATTAGCAAGCCTGCGAACTGAGGGATGGTCTGTTGGTCGTTCTGTGGCAGGTCTGGCGGGAGACCTGGATGTGGGGTCAGGTGGGAGGCTGGGCCTCCTGCCGCCCCTCCCCCCACCATTGCCTGGACCCCTAGGAGAGCCCAGTGAGTGCCTTCCTCTATCCCCCCCCCCCCCGGCCTGGCCCTCCTGGGGGCGTGAGCTTTCTCCCTGCAGCCAATGGCTTCAGCCGGCCGTGGACCAAGCTCTGAGGGTCCAGCCTGGCCCCCAGCCGGCACTGCCCCCATCCTGTGCCCAGGGCCCTGGCCTCACCACCGTCACCGCCCCCCAAGCTCCAGGCTCCTCTGCCCCAGTTCCTCTTGCTGTGCTCACTGTGGGACCCGAGCCGCGCGCGCACACACACACACACACACACACACACACACACCCCGCCGGAGCCTCTCTGTCCTCAGAGGACGCGTAGTGCACGTGCCATCACGCTTTCGGGTCTCCCCCCCTCGTCCCTCTGGGCTGCGAGGACGGGGGCCATCGTGCTGCTGGCCTTGCTGTCCACTGTCATCTGTGGGAGCTGTTCAGGGAAGGCGTGTTGAGGAAGGAAGGAGGGGATGCAAATGCGCCCCATCCCCCTGCGGCCCCGCGCACTTAGCCTGGGGCTACCCGCCCGGAGGGGAGCTGTCGGCTGACCGGCGTGGCCGGGGACCCTGCAGCCCGGCTCCGTGCGGGCGCACGGCCGTGTAGCGGGGGTGTCCTTCCGGGAGGCCGTTCTAGTTCCCCATGGGCTGGGCGCAGTCCCCCAGACGGAGCGCAGACGTGCGTGGCCGTGGCCGTGCGTCTGTGGCGGTCTCGGGCCGTGTCTCCGGGGCGTCTCCTGCTCAGCCACCTCCCCCACGGGAGCGCGGTCTGTTGCCAGCTCTCCTGGCGCCGTGTCCTGGGGCTGCCGCCGAGGGACAGGCGGGGTCCCAGTGAGGGACGTGGGCGGGGGTAGGTCTGAGGAACAGAGTGCCGTCTCCCCCGATAGCTCCTCCCAAGTGTCAGACTCGGGGTCTGAGCACGGCACGCCCCCCCCTCAGAGAAGTGCGTGGCTCACTGTGCGCAAGGCCACGTCGTCACCATGTTTAGTGGATTAAATGGGTTTGTGGCGAGTTACACGGCATGCAGGGCACGTGTTGAACACGGAGCTCCCGTGTAGCCGTGTCAGTGGCACACGGAGTTCTGCGAGAAAAGACAGCCCGTTCGGTCCGTTCACACCTGTGCTCTCAGTGGACGGCACCGCTCTGCCCCCGACCCACTCCCTCACGTGCCCCGGGATCCCCCAAACCCACCCCAGGGGGCTGTGCCGGGCCCCCAGAGGCAGGGCTGCCCCCCATTCCCACCACCACCCCCTGGCGGGGCGCTGGGCTGGGTGGGCCCCGTGACGCCCTCCGTGCCGCCCTCTGATGCCCCTCCTGCTGACCCCCCTCTGGCCCCCCTCCCCCTCCCACTCCCTCCCACTGGCCCCCCTCCCCCTCCCGCTGACCCCCCTCCCCCTCCCGCTGACCCCCTCCCCCCCGCTGACCCTCCTCCCGCTGACCCCCCTCCCCCTCCCGCTGACCCCCCTCCCACTGGCCCCCCTCCCCCTCCCACTGACCCCCTCCCCCTCCCGCTGACCCCCTCCCGCTGACCCCCCTCCCCCTCCCGCTGACCCCCTCCCGCTGACCCCCCTCCCCCTCCCGCTGACCCCCCTCCCCCTCCCGCTGACGCCCTCCCGCTGACCCCCCTCCCCCTCCCGCTGACCCCCTCCCCCTCCCGCTGACGCCCTCCCCCTCCCGCTGACCCCCTCCCCCTCCCGCTGACCCCCTCCCCCTCCCGCTGACCCCCTCCCCCTCCCGCTGACCCCCTCCCCCTCCCGCTGACCCCCCTCCCCCTCCCGCTGACCCCCCTCCCGCTGACCCCCCTCCCCCTCCGCTGACCCCCTCCCCCTCCCGCTGACCCCCTCCCCCCCCGCTGACCCCCCTCCCCCTCCCGCTGACCCCCCTCCCCCTCCGCTGACCCCCTCCCCCTCCCGCTGACCCCCTCCCCCCCCGCTGACCCCCTCCCCCTCCCGCTGGCCCCCCTCCCCCTCCCACTGACCCCCCTCCCCCTCCCGCTGACCCCCCTCCCCCTCCCGCTGACGCCCTCCCGCTGACCTTCCTCCCGCCACAGGGGACAAGTGCCTGCCGGACGCGCCCTACGATGGCAGCAGCGGCTACGAGAAGGAGCAGGAGCTGATGCAGACGCACGTGATGGACCAGGCCATCAACAACGCCATCAGCTACCTGGGCGCCGAGTCGCTGCGCCCGCTGGTGCAGACGCCGCCGGGCGGGGCGGAGGCAGGCGCCGTGCTCAGCCCGCTGTACCCCCTGCACAAGCCGCCGGGCGAGGGCGCCGCGCGGGCCGGGCTGTCGGCGCAGGACAGCGCCGTGGAGAACCTGCTGCTGCTCTGCCAGGCCAAGACCCTGTCCTCCGAGCGCGAGGCCTCGCCCAGCCACAGCGGCCACGGCTCCACCGACACCGAGAGCAACGAGGAGCCCCGGGCCGGCCTGCTGTGCCTGGGCCACGGCGCCCACGCCCGCAACGGGCTGGCCATCAAGGAGGAGCTGCCGGCCTACGAGGTGCTGCGGGCGGCCTCCGAGGGCGGCCCGGACGCCCTCCGCGTGGTGGGCGCGGGCGGCGAGCCCCTCAAGGCCTACAAGTGCGAACACTGCCGCGTGCTCTTCCTCGACCACGTCATGTACACCATCCACATGGGCTGCCACGGCTTCCGCGACCCCTTCGAGTGCAACATGTGCGGCTACCACAGCCAGGACCGCTACGAGTTCTCCTCCCACATCACGCGGGGCGAGCACCGCTACCCCCTGAGCTAAGCCGGGCGCGGGCTCCCGTGGACAGACTGCGGGCACGGGCTCCCGTGGATGGACTGCCGGGCGCGGGCTCCCGTGGACGGACCGGCCGACGCGGGCTCCCGTGGACGGACTGGCCGACGTGGGCTCCCGTGGACGGACCGGTCGACGTGGGCTCCCGTGGACGGACTGCGGGCGTGGGCTCCCGTGGACGGACCGGCCAATGCAGGCTCCCGTGGACAGACTGCCAGACGCGGGCTCATGTGGACAGACTGGCGGACGCAGGCTCATGTGGCCAGACCGGCCGACATGGGCTCACGTGGACAGACCAGCCAACATGGGCTCCCGTGGACAGAGCGGCAGATGCAGGCTCACGTGGACGGACTGCCCGACGCAGGCTCACGTGGACGGACTGCCGGACGCAGGTTCATGTGGACGGCTGCCGCTCCGGGGCGGCTCCTCCGTGGGCTCGGCTTGCAAGCTGATTGGGAATTGATCTGTGGGAGTCAGCCCAGGTGCGTCTCTCTGTCTGCCCCCCACTCCCCCCCACTCTCTCCAAAACCCCCACGAAACAATGCCCTCGGTGAGGAGTAACCACAAAAGGCCGGAGCCACAGAGACGGCCGCCCGCGCCCGGGACTGCACGGCACGCGAGGCGTGGTGAGGCTGCCACAGCGCCACGGGCTCCACGGGGCCGGCACGCTGCCTGCCGGCCGCCACGTGAGGGCCTTCGTGGACCCGGGGCGCCGCCCAGTCCCGTGCCCGGGTGCCCCCGGCCCGCACAGGCGCTCGGCGGGAGCTGCTGTTTCCAGAGGCCTCGGCCAGGCCGGCCCCGAGCCGTCAGCGCCCTTTGCTGAGCCCCCCCCCCCCCCGGCCTCTTCCAGCTGGTGGGCTGTCTCTTACCCACGTTTACGTGGCAGCGCCCTGGCCGTGCTCTGAAATGTTGTATTTAATGAGGGGTCCTAGCTGGCAACGGGGATTAAATTATGTCTGACAGGCGGCCATGTCTGACAGCTCAGGCCTCCCCCCACCCCCTCCCGTGGCTCGTCCTGTGGTTGGATGGTGTGGGGGCGTGTGTCTCGGGTTCCTGCTCACTCCCTGGGCTTAAAGTAAACGTCAGGTGGCCTGCCTGGGTGGCTCAGTGGTTGAGCGCCAACCTGCGATTCCCGGTCGGGGCACAGGCCCGGGTGCAGGTTCGTTCTCCAGTGGGGGGCGTGCAGGAGGCAGCTGGTCCATGGTTCTCTCTCATCACGGATGTTTCTCTCCCTCTCTCTCTCCTCCCCCTCTCCCTCCCCTCCCTCTCTCTCTCCCTTCCTCTCTGACATCAATAAGAATATATTTTTTAAAAATAAATAAACGCCAGGGAAAGGAGGGTTACAAGCCACAGGCCACACATTGGTCATGTGAGAATTCGCCGTTCGGCCTCTGGGCTCTCCCCCCCGCCCCCCACCAGCTTCCCCGGTGCAGAACGCCTGTCCCCGCCCCGGCCAGGGCCCGGGCCTCTCGGGAGAAGGGGCCGTGGCTTTAACAGTGAAGGGCTGCCCAGCCCCGGAGCTTCGGGCACCAGCCTGCCCCGCGTCCGCCGGAGTGTCCCTGGGACGGAGCTGTGCGTCTGTTCCGTTTTGTTTTCCTGTTTGTGCTTCTCCTGGGCTGGTGGCGATGACATCGTCACTCTGACAGCAAAACATGGTCATCTTCTCAGCAAAGAGGGGAGAGGGGAGCCGATGGCCCAGCAGCCAGGCCCAGGGGCAACGGGAACGGCTCTCCCCAGCCCTCCCCTCGCAGCCCCCTCAGCACGGGCTGCAGGCGTCTCACCTGAAATGAACCCGGAGCGGGTGGACTCAGCAGCTTCATGCGGCCGCCCCGTGCTCACGGGATGTGACAGCACTGTGGCAGGGACGCCCTGGCACGCTCCCTGCGGCTGTGTGGCCCTCTGTGTGCGGGCAGCAGGTCCGAAGCCGCAGGCAGACCGGAGGGAGAACGCGGGTCTCTGCCGGCCTGGCGGGATGTCAGACTGTCCGGCGGCCGGCCTGGAGGACCAGTCCCTTTGTACACTTTCTGAGAGCCTCTTGTGTAGTCATAGAGAATAAACGCAGGATACTGTCTGCCTCGTCCTGAAGTGAAGTCTGCCGTGTCTGAGGGAGGCGCTGCGCATGGCGGCCCCTGCGGACGCCTCCCAGGGGCCTGTGGGCAGCCCGGGGCGGTGTCACGCCGGAGCCTCTGCCCCTGTCGGGGGGGGGGGGGGGCGGCAGGGGGCGGCAGCAAGAGGTACATCTGGCCCCGCACAGCCCAGCGAGCGGCCAGGGCACAGAGGACAGTGGCCAGTGCAGGGCCTGCCCCCGGGCGCCGCGGGCACGCACATGCTCAGCCAGGGCGGGGGCGGGGGGAGGGGCAGGGCATGGCCTCGGACACACTGTGGGCAAACCCTCCCTTTGGGAGAAAGGCAGGCGCCCCGCAGGCTCAGGTCCAGACACAGGGCGGTGGGCACGTGCACAGGCACAGCGTCGGAGCCACACGGCGTGAGGTGGACCGGGATCCGCCCGCGGAGCCGTGAGGATAAACGTCTCCGTGAGCTCTGCAGCCGCCCCCACGAGGCCTGGGCCCCAGGCTTCAAACCCCTCCGCACAGGCCGTCCCTGGGACGGGACGGGGGCTGGGAGAGAGCTGGTGGCGCTCAGCGGTGAGAGAGGACAGAGGCTGGGGAGTCCCGGCCGGGGACACAGACGGGTGGGGGTGCAGGGACGGAGGGGGGCGGCAGGCGGCCTAGAGCAGCCGAGGCAGAGCCACCCTGAGCGCCCTCTGCAGGAGGCCTCAGCCCTGGGGCCCAGGAGAGGCAGGGGCTGGGGGGCTGAGAAGAAGCCACTGGCCCTCGCAGAGCCATTTGGGAGGGGCTGGGGGGGGGCGGGGGGGCCGAGGCCATGGCGGGCGGGGGCCGGAAGGAAAGGGGAACTCGCCTCACGAGGCCCGGGCCTTGGCGTGGACCTGGAGGGAGTGACACCTCACTGTGCAGTCCCCGTGCTGGTTCCACTCTGGGCCAGGCCACATCGGAGCTGTCCCTCTCGGCCCTGGTCCAGGCCCTTGCCATCGGGGCCGGTGGGCGCCTGGGGGGCTGGGGGGCTGCCCCTCCCCTCCCTGCTCCGGGACCACCCCCATCCCCGCCCAGCAGCCCTTGTCAGGCAAAAAGCAGACCCGCCCACTGCGGTCCCCTCACAGGCCCGGCCCAACAGCCTGGAGGGATTTGCATAACGGGGATAATTTGGTACCAACCCCGGCCCCACTGCACAGGGCACGGACCACGGTGCAGCGACCAGTCTCACTTCCCCTTTCCCATGTGCTGTGGGACCGGCCGAGGTGGCGCTGGGCGTGTGAATTTTCCAGACAGTTCTGCTCCCGCCCGAACCGGCCCGGCCTCCCCTCCCCCTGTGCAGCCCGTCCAGGGCCCCCGGGTCTCCGGCTCCCGCTCCTAGGCCCCGCCTAGCTCGCTGTGGCTCCGCGGACACCAAGCGGTGCCCTGCCCACAGGGACACCCGTTGCCTCTGCTCGGGACCTGGGGTGGGGTGGGAGGCTGAGCAAGAGCCGCTCATTGGGCCTCCGGGACCTACACCACCTGCCTCACCTTCCAGGCCTCAGCCACACCTGCGGGGCCTTCCTCACGCCCAGCCCGGCTTCCTGTGGCGGAGGAGGCCCAGCCACAGGGAGGGCGGGTTCAGGGTCCTCCGCCCTCGGGCAACGCCCTGCACAGAACCTGCCTGGCCCCCGCCCACACTCAGCTGCCACCCCTATAAGCACCCGATTCCTTTTCACATGGACGTGAGCTTCCCTGGGAGAAGGAATCATCAGGCACATCCGCCAGGAACAGGGAAAGGCCTTGTCTCTGAGCCGGGAATGCAGACACAGTCACCGAGGCTCAGGAAGCCCGAGAGCCCCTACCAGGGGCAAGTACAGGCTCCACATTGGCATCAGCTGGGGCCAGAGCTGAAACAGAAGACAGCTGTATGCCCTCAAGCAATCTTCATTGAAGCTGCAGCCGTGGTCCAACACACACATTTGCCTGGGATACCAAATGCTACCTGGGCATTCAGCTTTTCCAAGGATTAGGCTGAGATTATTATGCCCTAACCCTAACCCTAACCCTAACCCTAGCCCTAACCCTAACCCTAACCCTAACCCTAACCCTAACCCTAACCCTAGCCCTAGCCATAATCCTAACCCTAGCCCTAGTCCTAATCCTAACCTTAACCCTAGCCCTAACCCTAGCCCTAACCCTAACCCTAACCCTAACCCTAGCCCTAATCCTAACCTTAGCCCTAACCCTAGCCCTAACCCTAACCCTAACCCTAACCCTAGCCCTAACCCTAACCCTAGCCCTAGCCCTAGCCCTAACCCTAACCTTAGCCCTAACCCTAACCCTAACCCTAACCTGGGCATTCAGCTTTTCCAAGGATTAGGCTGAGATTATTATGCCCTAACCCTAACCCTAACCCTAGCCCTAACCCTAACCCTAGCCCTAACCCTAACCCTAACCCTAGCCCTAACCCTAACCCTAACCCTAACCCTAACCCTAACCCTAACCTGGGCATTCAGCTTTTCCAAGGATTAGGCTGAGATTATTATGCCCAAACCCTAACCCTAACCCTAGCCCTAACCCTAACCCTAGCCCTAACCCTAACCCTAACCCTAGCCCTAACCCTAACCCTAACCCTAACACTAACCCTAACCCTAGCCCTAATCCTAACCTTAGCCCTAACCCTAGCCCTAATCCTAACCTTAACCCTAGCCCTAACCCTAGCCCTAGCCCTAACCCTAGCCCTAACCCTAACCCTAACCCTAACCCTAGCCTTAACCCTAACCCTAGCCCTAGCCCTAGCCCTAGCCCTAACCCTAACCTTAGCCCTAACCCTAGCCCTAGCCCTAACCCTAACCCTAGCCCTAGTTCTGACACTAACCCTAATCCTAACCCACACCCATGCCTTGCCTGATCTGAGCTCACCTAGAGCCGTGGTCGGCAAACTGTAGCTCAGGAGTC